GTTCTGAAAATATGTTAATACAAAATTTGAAAAATGTCACCGAAGGAAGGTAAAAAGAAAATTAGTGGATCAACCATTTGAATTCGATCGGAAAAGTTTTATGTAATTTGTCACCTTGTGATAGTTAATTTAGTCATGTCAAATTTAAATTCTATTTTAGTTCAATTAAAAAGAGTTTGCTGTTATTTTTATTATTTATTTTATCGTTAGAATTTAAATGTAGAGATCGTACAGAACGGAGCCATTACCGGTAGTGCTGAGCATCGATAAAACAGATTTTGTAACTTCGTATTTATGTTGCATTCAAGATGTCGCATGATTTAAACTCAGGAATTCTTTTAACGGTAAATTATTGATAATAAATGATAATAAATTCAGAAATTAATGATAATAATTCGCCAATGATTAATAACAGCCATTGAAAAATAAAATAATAGGGGAAATAATATTAGTACTCAAGTTACCCTTTAACATTTTCATGGACTTGTTTTAAAATATTTTACAATTATAATTTTTATATCTATTTTGGAAGGAATTGGAAATATCAACATAAATATCATTTCATGCGACACCACATGTCTAATAACAACCAGTTATCTCTTACAATAAAAATCCAGTAAAAACCATTTCGAATTAGAATATTTTAATCTATACTTTCAAAATCCTGTGAAATCCATTTGGTTTGAAATTTTGAATAGTAGTTCCCCTTAGATAGAAATAACGTTTGCTAAAAAAATTATTGTCGATTCGAAGCTGAAGATTAAAAATTTTACAAAAATCTGTTTTATCATTTTAGTGTCACTCCCTGTAACTTCTATACTCTAATTAAACTGACATTTTACATATGTCATTTTGCTTAGGGAAAATGTTTACGAAAACAATTTTTGATAATTCCAAATTTAAGGTACAAACTTTTATGAAAAAACGGTTTTACCATTACAGTGTCAGTCCCTACGTTACCGTCGGAGTATAGACAACCACCGTTTTATCACCGACGTAAGGCAGGACATTGGGAATATTAAGATACGCAAAACTATTTTTGAAAATGAACATGGAGGTTAGAAACATGTTTGTGATCACTAACAGGAGCATCTTCGTTATGTTCTAAATGTATCTTAATGTAAAGCAATAATAATTTCGATAATTGAAAATGCAAACGGAATCATATATTTTATACTGACAGTGAATGATTTCAAATAGGATGTGTAATTGTTGAGAAAAAATAAGTAACTTAATAGTAATAAGCTTTTATCTACAATGAAACTGTTTGCAGAATTTTAACCCTATCGGATTTGACAGGTCTTTGGAAATTTTGACTTAATTGTTGTTTCAGTTATCATTGATTGCTCGTTATATTCAGTGTGTGATGAATAAGTTTTAGAATACAAAATTGGAGAACACGTTGTTCTGAAAGCTTTTCTTGAGGAAACATTACATTTTTTTTCAGAGACTGTTGTAAGTCTTTATTGAAGAATGAACATACAAACTCATATTTGAAGGATATCATCTGATGAGTGGTGCGCCCGGATGAGGTCTTCATCGGCCGTAAATAAATATCCACGGGTCGGTGGGACTTTCGTCCGTTTGCAAAACTCTTTAAATACGTCGAAAAGAAATGTACTTACGGGAAATAATAATAATAATAAATAAAATTAATAATAATAATAATAATAATGGTGATGATGATGATGATGATGATGATGATGATGATGATGATGATGATAATGATAACAATAACAATAACAATAGCAATAATAATTGAATGCATCAAACCCTCAAAAGATATGACGAATACATTAAACAAAATTCTAAACTATATAGAAGTTGTTCCATATTTAATGAAAATTATAATGCTTTATTAAAACTGGTTTTGAAAGTATTTAAACATTGTCAGAATATTTCGGAATATGTATATATATACATATACAATATAATTAAAATTTCTGACTCCATTTTCATGTGCAACTGTGTTAATACGGGTCAAAAGTGACCCAGCCTCGGCTGAACGGTTGAATAAAAGATTTTAGATAGTGCTAGTATACATATAACACTTCACTAAACTAAACTGAAATGTTTGAATTTTTCTTATATTAATTGCAATCACAGATTTACTGTACAATTAAATAGTGTGCACCAGTTTGAAAATGAACCATAAGTTAAAAGGTTAATCTGTTAATTAAAAGCGCCTTCTATATCATCACATGTCTAAGACACATATAAAATTTGTTCAATAAAATATTAAGTTATGTCACCGATCACTGACGTTTCCGAACTACTTAAAAACACTCCTAACATGCAAGATAACTGATGTCAAATAAAAATGTTTAACAACATAATTAACTTGATAATACTGTAATGCAAGAATTGTAACGTCAAATAATTAACAATTGTTCCTACTTTTCTTACTACAAAAGAATAACTCAACAAAAAAACGGTCAAGATTCTCGTGGCGCTTAACCCTTCGCACTCGAGCGGCGCCTTTCAATCGCCGTTTGATTTAACACGTTGACGCCGGCGCTTTTTAGATCCCGTTTAAAACAAGGCATGTGTGACCCACCGGTTGGTCACGCCGGCGTCAACGTGTTAACCGAACAAAATGATCAAATTTAGAATTCAATATCAAATTTTATATGATGTATCTAAACATGGAGCATCGAAATAAAATAGTTCTGTCACTTAATTTATACAAGGTATTTCTTCATGTTAGTTGTAAAACATATTGACATCTCATAAAAAAATAATGAACATTTGTTGAGAAAAATATTCTCGAGTGCAAAGGATTGACGTGTTAAAAATATTTTCGTCCAAAAGTTGACGTGTACCACGTGTGTTACATATGAACGTATTAATCTGTTCTGTACTCACACCTTATCGCCCGATTGTCACTTTCCTCGATTTCTAATTTTGAACCAGGTCGTGGTAACTCGTTCGCGATTGAATTCCCGTCCAACAACCGATACCACTGAAATCTGTACTGAGATGGAATAACACCATTCCGTTGGAACACGCGGCCATCACGCGGCAGTTGACTGAAGATTATTCACAAATCCACGGTGTCTCAAGTCGACCACTCTTCAGATATACCTCTCGTTCAAACCGATATCCTTGTTATTCATTCGCAGACAGTTAGACCATTCTCATCTCCGACGCCTGTTTCGTTCCGGGCACTGTCCCACGCGTGTAGCAACACTACGTTGAAACATGTAAGTTCTACTTCCTATTTATTCTTCCTTGAACAATCGGTCGGTCTGCGCGCACCGGTTTTCCCGGCGAGGTGAGCTGGCAAAATATTTGTTTGAGGTTAACGAAACCATCTGCCAAATGATAATACTTATTTACCTATGGTTACGCGATGTTTATCGATGTCCGATGATGCAAAGTGTTATTGTCACACGTCGTTGTGAATACGCCAATCTGTTATACGAGCTGGATTAGATTATTCAACGAATTTTGGGAAATGTATTCGAGACTTCTGATCGTTGGACAAATTATTAGAAATCGCGTGATTTGTTGTAACTTCGGTTAACCCTCTGTGGGCCGAATTTTTGTTCATGATTATAACAAAATCTATGCAGCGCAAAATTAATAAATAGCCACATATGAATACGAATTAACAATGTATTCAATAGTTTCATTAATTTCATCAAACGAATATATTTTGTAACTTTCAAGTTACAATGACGTTAAGCTTTCACGCCTGGGCGTATAAAAGTTTAAGTTAACTGATTACTTAATTTTATTCACCGCTTCGAGTGCAAAATGAAATAAATCAACAAGATGCCAATATACTGATATGGGCCTACAGACGGTTAAAGAGAATTGTAGTTTTCGCGAGTTTAAAAGCACTTTTCTTTGTACCGTTGGATTCGTTGTTACACCATTGACTACGGCAGATCAGACGACAAGAAATATTACATGCTTTAGTAAAAATTATTTTTTACCTTAGAATTAAACGTTTTCAATGTTTATTGTTTTTTTTGTAATTGATATATTTATGAATATGTGATAAATTTTTTATTGTGAAATGTATATGTTTGTATGTTTCAATTCGTAATTTTGACAATTAAATACTTGACCTGTGTATTCTTATAAAGCTTCTAAAGTAAATTGCTAGGTTTTAATGAACATGATTGTAATCTCCCACGAGTTTCTAAACTGAAATCGATTTTTGGAATTTTGACGATCGCTGCCGGTATCTTGTGTCTTGAGAAACTATTATTATTTTGTTCAATCGAAAATAAAACTCTAGTTACAACTTTCTTTTATGATTTTTTATTTATTCCTGTCTTATAATGATAATATCAATAAATACTGTTGATATTAACGATTTGTTTAAATTTTATCTATTATCTACATACCTATTTAAATTTTATCTCGAACCCTTTTCAAAATAAATTAGTCACCTTCACAAAAGCTGACATTTTTCTTCAATATTCTCTAATTAAATCTAACTTCTTAAAAACTGAAACTAATCGAACAATCCTACTTCCGGTTTCGTGTTTAGGAAGAGAAACTCTACAAAAGCCACACTGTTATCAGTGGATCTCATCCAACTTAAGTGTATATACGACAGTAACAAATTTTATAACAATTTGACAAAAATTTTGAAATAAAACATTCTCGCCTAATTTTTTCAAAGAACGGTTACACTTTAAACAAGTACCTCCTTTCTATGGCTATAAATATTCTTATGCCTAATTCGACGAGATATTCAATAAAAAGAAATCCAATTTTTTGATATTGCACTAACATTCTTTTATCGCGGTCACTTCATGGAACTGTAATAATCAATAATTTCAAGTAGAAACATTCGATTGACATTTCTGGACATTTGATCTCACATTGAGTGTTCCCATTTATTTATAGCCTACCTATATACATATACCAAACAGATAAGTGAACATTGCAACGAGTGTTCTATTGTTTGGATCTTAGTCAGCCCTGAGGAAAACGCGTTAATTATGCGATGACCCGATTATACACATTATGTACTATTTAAAATATGGTACACTGGCAGAGATCACCCATACGACCTTCAAGTGTGCTGTAACAAATAGTAAGTTTTCATATGTCCTCATATTCAAATGAAATATTCTGATTAATCGCAATCTTATCGTGTCTAGACGCTTCTCATAATTGGCGACGATAAGCGAAAGTCACAGATTTTCAATGTGATTTTTATGTTTCTAATTAGTACATAAAATTCTGAAGACAGGCGTACATAGCGCCCGGCGGACGCGCCTTGAATCGATTCGAACGTCCATGGAAGCTCTGCGATTAAATGTTTTTGGACATTTATGATATGTTTGATAAAACTTGCATACACTTCCTTGTTGTTCTGAAGAAACTTTTCTAATGAAATTACGCGTCCCGCTTATGTCTTGTACTAATATATGTATATAGTATAATTATAATAATTATAATAATACGTTAATATAATAATATAAATATATATATATATATATATTATAATATATATTATTATAATATAACTATAAATAATATTGAATAAATAAAAAAGATTATATTCTAATTACATATACTATACATATGTCATAATTAGATTATATATAAATTATAATTGTATATAGATTATAAGATTTATATTATATTTTATATATATATATACAATTTTATAATCTATATATAATTACAATAATATATTAATATTTATCTATATAATAATCTATATTTTCTATTATTATTTATCAATTACTTATCATATAATATTTTACTATTTATCTGTATAATCCACATATAATCTTTATTTAAACACGGCCTGCTTAGTGAGTGAGTTTGGTGTACATAGTTGTTGCTATTCTCCACCATTCATTCCGTTCTTCGCTACATTCATTCAATTCAACGCACATTCTATTTCCCTTGCCCTCCTCTGTCTATCCATCACAACAATTTTACTGCACGTTTGTTTCTCTTATCCTTTAAAATGAATATGTATATATATGTAGTCGGTATTAAAAAATAAAAATAATATCCATTGTCTTCAATAAATAAAATGACAGACAAGTAGCTGAACAATGAATATTGTAGTCACGAAATAGAAAGTATTTTATAGTTAGGTGACTACAATATTCATTGTTCATCTACTTGTTTATAATTTTATTTTATTCAAGACAATGGATATCCTTTTCATTTTTTAATTTCTCTTCCTCTGGTGTCTTTCAATAATATTGTAATGGCGGTTTTCTACAGACACTGTGTCAGATAAAAAAATGTATTTTTAGAAGTCTTTATCACGCTTTCCGAAATTATCATTCAGTTTTTTTCATTATTTTTATACTAAGTATGAGTAAACTTTGACTTCAAACGAAAATCCAGTATTAGTCCCTTGATGCACTATTTACTTTCGCTACCAAGCTCGGGTATCATTTTACTGTCGACAATTTAGAAGAAACGCAACAACACATTACATTCTACTCGAAATGGAAATTTCATTTGAAAACGATAAACTGATAATAGCAAAATAATAGTTTACTTTGATCCGTGGGTAATGAACAACATTGATTGTTGTTAAATTGGTCTAAAAATCTTCGTCAAGTCTCGTTGCAGTCCATGCAAAAGGCAACCAATGCCTTTCGGTGCTTCAATCACATAATTCAATTCTTTCGTTATTTCTTGTTAAAATTGTATCTGATCTACAGCAAGTAATGAAATACTCCCAGTACAATACAACAGTATCGTTATCAATTTACATTATTTGTCTCGTTGCAATCCATGTAAAAGGCAACCAATGTCTTTCGATGCTTTGGTCAGGTAATTCAATTATCCCGTTATTCCTTGTTAAAATTGTATTACTCGTCAGCAAATAATGAATTGCCTTGTACGACAAGGGGTTAAAAATCAGTTTCATTGTTTAGGAACACACAAGAAAGGAGGACGGACAGCATCAGCGGTAAAATGTCGATGTCGACAAAAGAGGTACTACCGGATAAGCCGATTCAAGAAATCCGCGTCGATTTGAAGCAGACAGTTCCGTCGGGGAAATTGAAGAGTCCTACTAGCAACTGTTTCGAATGTAAATTAGATAAGGAGAGTAAAGAAACAAAAGTTAAGACTGAGGAAAAAGAACAGTCGCAGAGTCAAAGTACCACGTGTCCGAAAGTGGAGAAACCGAAAATCGAGGCAGCGAAACCTAAAGCTACCGAGGCAGAGAAAAGTAAACGGAAAATAGAAGAGACGATGGTGAAAAAAGTGACTGAAGTTGTGAGCACGAATCAAAGCAAACCAGCGAAATGCAAAATGACCCCGATCGTCGGGCACTCGGTAAGTTTAGTTTACGTTGTATAATGTGCTGTTAATAGAAATAATTATGTTTTATTTGAAAAAAGAAAACATAGGAATAGTTAACACCTTAGGCGACCGCCTAAAAAGAACTATAACTACAACCTCCTCCGTTATCCTCAATTGAACTCGTTCGATGAATTCGGTTAGAAACTGTGTTTTGTAAAAACAAGAACCGTATTCGATGAATTGTGAATAATTCCACTTAAATACTTACTAAATAACAAAAGAAAAGATAAACAAACAACGTGATAATTTCCTTTTGGTGAGAGGACTGACCATAATTTGAATCCGACGCATTTACCCCTAAAACTTGAAAAGAAACTAAGTATATCTTCAATTTATTTATAAATAAAAATTACAAAAATATAAATTCTACCCGATGGGGAATCGAACCCCGGTCTCCCGCGTGACAGGCGGGGATACTGACCACTTTTTTTTTGTAACAGTATGTTTATTGTGCCGATAAATAATATTTACAAAATAGTACAATAAACCTAAATATACAAAAAAAGGATAACAAAAAGATGTAGGATTATTTACAGAGATCTAAGGCTCAAACATTGAGCACGCATAATCTGGTCGCTGTATACATGGGAACTGCACTTAATGCTACAGGTGGTATTTACAAGTTGGTTGCTTATATTCTAATAGATTAATGTGTATAGAAGTGGCACAGGTGAACTATACAGTCGGTTTAAGATAGTGGTAGAAGGAAAGAAAGAATGAATATTTCGGAGACTATTATCGCTGTAGATTAGAACAAACCACGAGGTCCGGTGAATGCAAAATTAGGTTATATGCTTCTAAAACGGGCAAAAATTAATTTATCTCCCCGGCGGGGAATCGAACCCCGGTCTCCCGCGTGACAGGCGGGGATACTGACCACTATACTACCGAGGAGTTTTCGGATGATGGGAAATATGCATTGATTATTTAAAGTTTACAATTATTTCTATGGTTAATATGAATGGCATACATTTCATAAGGTTACAACCACCAATATCTGTTGATGTTCTGTCTTTGTTTGTCTCTTTTATCCACATTAGATAATTTATAGTTGTAGTGCATGTGTGGGTCATTGAATCTGATATTCTTGTTGTATGTAATATGTTTGTCAAAAGTTCTTCTGTGTACATGGTAAATTATTGGCACATTTTCTGAATTTTGTATATATCCTTCACTATCGAGATAGATGAAGGACTCTGGTGAGGTATATCCTGTTACCATGGCTTTTCTGAAGTATAGAGGGTTTGGAAAAGTGGAGCACTGAATGAGACTATTGGTTGTAACATTATGAACGTTAGCCCAATGATTTCTGATTAGCTTTAAAATAAATAGGTCTATTCTGATGATGTTGGCTTCTTCGTATAGTCTGTGGTTCTTGGCGAGCTTGGTAAAGTTGGACTCCGGTGTCCGGTATCTGCTAAGACAGGCTCTCAGGCATTTCCTCTTGAAGACTCATAGTTGTTCTATGGTTCCAGCGCTAATGTTGTACCAGATGGGGCAGCTGTAGGTCAGGATTGGTCGTATAAGAAGCTTGTAACAGAGAATTTTGACAGCTTATCAAGGTCTTTCGAATAGAAAAATCTTTTATTGGATAAGAATGCTTTCTGTGCCTTTTCTATTTGTAAACTAACATGCAAATTATAATTAAGTTTAAAGTCTATATGTATGCCTAAGTAGCGAACAATGTTTTTGTGGGGTATTCTACAATTTGGATCTAACCTGTCCTGAATGTGAAATTTACCAGAGTGTCTACATATATCAAAATTGGCATCTGATATTATTGAAATATATGGTCTAAACAGTATTGTTTTACATTTATTGATGTTTAGTTTTAATTTTCATGTATGGAGGAAATCTTGAACTTTATTGAAAGTTTCCTAAAGGGTTTTTTGAATTTTGGATACTTTGTTGTCTCTAGTGTAAATTACTAAATCGTCTGCAAAAGCTATTACCATTTTATCATTATTGATATTTAGTCTGTACATTTGTAGTAAGTCACTTATAAATATGTTAAACAAGACGGGAGAATTCACTGTGTCTTGTTGTAGGCCATTGTCGATTCTAAAAGATCTACCAGAACTGAATTGTCCATTTACTACAAAGAATGTTTTTTAAAGAATCAGAAAAAACCCTTGTCAGAGACACTCAGAATAGAATTAGAAGAGAACAGAATTAGAAGGGCACTCGAAGAGACAAGTTACAGTCCGTGGCCATCGAATTAGGACCACTACAAATTTTAAGCATTTTTCGCGTTTTTCGTAAAATTGCCATGACATAATTTATTAACTACTAACATAATACACTACTACTGTACATAATATTGTTATCACATGTTAATACCGTGTATTTCCACCCTTTGCTTTGATGACAGCTTGTATCCTTTCTGGCATGCTCCGTATACATTGCTTGATCATATCCTTTATATCTTCATTATTTTCCTAAATATCTGTAATTTTTGTTTTTTGTTTTTTGTTTTTATTTTCCTAAATATCTGTAATTTTTGTTTTTTGTTTTTTGTTTTTATTTTCCTAAATATCTGTAATTTTTGTTTTTAAGAAATTCTAAGGATCTCTCATGCATATGTGCAACACATTCTCATCATGTATATACAAACAAATCTTGCATTCTCCAAATTTGACCTCACGCGCCATCGACACTTAAGCCTAACGTAAACGCTGGGGCGACTCTTAATCGCTCGTCACCCACACAATTTGATTATAATCACGATAGTAACAAATCAATTGTTATCTATAAATCATTATCAACGTATTTAGTAATAATTTGAATGACCTAAGACAATTTTCCATATATGACATACTGTTATAGACATAAAAGTGAAATTTTCGTACGTGATTCTAATTCAATGGCCAGGGACTGTAGAAGTAGAAGGCCCTTGTGTCAGTCAAAATTAGAATCAGGAACAAGTTAGAAACAATTCAGAAAAACTCCACCAGGGAGTTTAGTCAGCCAGTCAGTCAGTCAGTCATTTAGAAATCTTAGTCCCAACATTGGGTGGTCCTTCGATTAGTAAAAATTCAGCATGTGTTCAAAGTATTCGTGACAGTCTGATTATTTAACATTTGGTCCTACAATCCGGATGCCATCGGTGAACAGTCCAAGTGCTTAACACGTTGATTGCCACGAAGAACATCAGCGTTTTATATATCACTTATTCTTTCTATAGCAAAGATACAAAACAAGACTTATTAATTCTGTAGAATTAATTTATTTAAATCTCATGTGTTGTCGTGGTGAGAAATAAAAAGAAAGAATTAGACTCACTAGATAACAATAACAAATACTTTATTCTATTATAACTCACTGACTCGCTAACTGTTACTCGCTAATTCAAAACGTCCCACTCTATGTCTCGCTCAAAAGATCACGCTCAACTGCGCCAGGCACGCATCATTTCCACTCGCTTTTCATACACACCCCCATTCGCTCTGTCTTTCTTACCCTTGCACCCTTCTCACTCGCATCTTTCGTCCATGTTTAAAATTCACGCAGTCACGTACACGCTTCTCTATGACCGTACACTATGACCTGGTCGCCCGCACGCACACACAACAAACCATTCATCTCACACTCAGTCACTCATTTGGAAAAACCCTACAATTCTTTGATATGAAAATTTTTATATTACCCTATTATCTCGTTACTTACGATACGGAAGATTTGTATTCGAAATCAATTATTTTCCTAGTCATAATTATTTTCTTACAATTTGAAAGCTCCGGTCATCGGTGACCGCCGTGGCAGTCAAAGTGTTAAACACCTCGTTTCCGAAAGCTGGTTTTGCTTTCTTTATTGTGGGTCCGCGTGATGCGTCATGTCCTGTAGCTGATTTTGCTTCGGTCTTGAGGGCGAAGCTATTCTTTTTAACCCTTTGCACTCCAGAGGCGCCTCTAAGTCACCAAATGATTTGACACAGCAAAGCTGTAAACTTTGATATTTAATATTAAACTTTGTATAATGCATCAATGTACGAAATATTGAAAGAAAATAGTTCTCTTCCTCAATGCATGTGAGATTTCTTAATTCAATCTAAGAAAATGTCCTATCTCATTAGAAAATATTGAATATTTCCGGTGAAAAACTTCCGGAGAGCAAAGGATTAACCCTTAGCACTCCGGGTTGTTTTGTAATCTATCAGCAACTGCAACTAATTCTTATAGTATTCCTAGCGAAAATTAGAAATGCTATAACATTTATTCGATCTTTTATTTTCCTTGTTAGTACAGAATTTGGATGTGTGGAAAATCGAATAATTTTAGGGTGGTTTCTTTAAGATTCATTAAAATATTTAATATTATAACTGGTGTAATATTGGAACCTACAGAGTTCAAAGGGTTAACTGGGGGTGCGGACGTTCCTGCGGGTGGGCCGCTTTTCATTTTGCCTGCCGTAACGGTACTCCAATGTCCCGCGCCGCTATTTTCTTCGGCTTGGAAAATTCCACTCGACCCTTCTGGTTCCGTTGAGGGGCTCGATGTACTTGAAGTACTCTGCGCAGGTATATCTCCTCTCCTATTTTGTCCTTTTTCTTGCTCTGCAGCTATTTTTCTGTTTCTTTCTTCTTCCAGTTACTTTGACAGGTTTTCTATTGTTTTATTTACGTTTACTATTATTTTGATTAATTCTTCGTATGATGGTTTTGATGTCTTTGTCTTGGCCATCTTTATCGTTGAATTTTAGATGCATGTATTTTGCTTCTTGCGTTTAGGTTTGGAGCTTTTCACACTTTTCACACTAGCGTTGGTATGTAATTTATTAACTTGCGCCAAGAGCGCTGAATTTTTATTTAATAGTAAATCTTTTTGTTTGATTATTTTTGTTATATCTATCACATTAACTTTCTCGTTTCTTGAGCGCTCGTGACATGGGGGTTCGGCCCCCTGTATATTGTTTTCACTGTCTATTGTCTTCGAAGTATTTCACTTTCAACAACTTTATTATGGATATTTGATGAACTTTGTGGTTGATTTAAATAAAATAACTCCTGGCACTCTTTCACTTTCTAACTGCACTGTGTAGACTTTTGAGTAAATGCGTATGCGCAATAGATCGCACTCAGGTATACCAGAGCAATGAGATACTGACCATTATATTATCGAGGATTTAATTGTTACAACAGTTTTTTTATCGGTACATCAAGATTCATCGTTACAGAAATATTATTTTTTAGTATATTTTTCTTTTTTATAAATGTTTATTGTGCCAAAATTATATACAATATTTGCAAAGCTGCAGTGAATATAAATGATATAATGTCAAAGCTAAATTCGAAAGGATCATTTATTAATCCACGAGTTAGCTGATTTACGATATTGTAAAATAAAGAATGCCTCGAAAATGGCCATCGCATTGTTTATCTCACACCGAGTCAGATTGCTGCAAGTGGGTGAAAAATCGTGCGTCGCGTTAGAGGTAACACCCTGTATAATGTACTACGATGGGTTTACAGGATGAACAGAAGCCAACAAATGTTGCTGTTCCACGGAAATATCCACCTTTGTCAAAGCCGTTGTTAAACGTACGTCCCATCGTATTGGCGACTCACTTAGTGCCCTCACTACCGATCGGCTTGTTCGAGGTACTCGCGGAAGCAATAGAAGTTGCAACTGAAAAGCCGGTTGCACTGATGTACGAGCCTAGAAGTCATAGACCAGTCGCAAAAGATGTCGTTGATATCGGTAAGTTCCCGTACGAAATAATTTATAAACTTAATACTTTAATTCTGTCACAGTTAAGAAATTTTATTTTTCGAAAATAAACCCTTGCGCGATGAAATTTTATTACATATTTTCAACTTTTTCCTTTTTTGCGTAAAACCACCCCTTTCTAATGGATCATCCTGTACATTAACGTGAACTTAAAAACAGTATAGAGTCTAAAAAATAAAGGATTATTCACAATATTAATATTCTAACAACAACAATAACAACGATAATAATAACAATAACAACAGTAATAATAATAATAATTTAAGAATTAACCCTTTGCGGACGAAGAATCTTTAAAGTATACAAAACATTCTGCAGACTCTGCCAAGTTACACGTCGAATGGTTAAATAACCGAGGATAAAGGAACTATGTACTGATTTCTTGCTGTTTGAGTAGTTCAATCGTTTGTTTGTTACTTAGTATTCCAAAGATAAAAGTTTGATGTCAGCAAAATGTCGAAATTCGTCCACAAAGGGTTAAAAATTACATCTCCAAGATGTGCTATTCAAATCCTCCACAATTGTTTGTTTCAGCTATCCTACCAGCAAATGAAGAGTGGGAGGACGGTGAACTTCTACCCGCAAGTTTTTCTTTCAAACACCACTTAAATAAGAATAATTCACCCTGTGTTTACGCAGACGTTATAGTTGCAAGTGACCGGGCTGCACATGTTGAAGTAAAGTTAAAATTTCGGTAAAAATAATAATTGGAAATGTAAACGTATTAACATGTACGCGTCAATCTACAGGACATTATAGATCTCCGTGGTCATCGGTGTGCACTGCCAGATCGTAAAAAGAAAATTGGGGCAGCAGCACTGATATTTAATTACTTGTATACTAGAGGCGAGAATCCAACTTTCTTTGGTAACACACTGGGTTCGTATACCATTGAAATCAATTTAGGATGGGTAATTCTAGGGAGGATGGCTATATTTTTCTTTGACAAGCATACAAATGGAAAGTAAAAAGATTAAAACACCAGATTTGATTTTTAATCGAACTTTAATTACTTTCTTATAAAATGATCAAGAGAAATTAAAATTACAAGTGAAGAAACCTTAATTGTAATAATTATTGTCTCAATTATTTATAGGGGATAATTAAAGTGATCCCATTCTCCCATGGGATTATACTATATATTAATTGTTGTAACGTGTATGAAAAATATCAATGTCAAATAACAATTTTTAGATGCTGACACACAAGTTGCTGCCTTGCAGATGGTTGCAGGGAAACAAGCAGAAGTTGGAATTATAGAATCACCTGTTATTAAGTGTCAGAAGAATCTACTTCCAGGGATCGATTCAGTTCAAATCTTAACGAGTCTGGGACCTTTACCACCTTATCGCATCATGGTAAAGAGGACACTTTCGGGTAGGTTAAAAATTTAGTGCTAATGATAGTAAATTTATATTGAATATTTGAATATTTCATGCTTTATTTTCTATACGTAGTAAATGATATAATGTTTGTTTAATTTACAGATGACCTGACCAAAAAAATCACAACTTATTTGCTAAATGTACACCAAGATAAAGAATGGGTGGACAAATTTGCTTCATTTGGCATTACAAACTTTGCAAAAAATTCTATGGAATTTTATGATCAAACTGATGTAAAATCTGTAGTTACAAGTGTACCATATTACTAACACTTATCTTCTTTTTATTCAATTTTATAGTAGATATACACACTCACATCATTCACTTTTTTTTTACATTTCTTTACTTTTATACTTTTCACAAGTTAAAAGTTTAATAAATACAATATTTTAATAATAATTTTATACATATATACAAGTTATTCTAAATTATATTGTCTACGTATTATCTAATAATATATTAATTATTAAAAGTACATAATTTGTAGATAACAGTAAGGACCCATTAAATGCTTACAATTTTGAGACTGTTAATAAAATTTCAAGAAATATTTTAAACGATTCTCCACTAATGGGTTCAATTTAAATTATAAATGATGTGTACATTTCTTTTAACTATATAGGGACATTTACAATTTATAAATATTTATATCAGATAATTCAAAACATGTATCATCTTTTCTAATGGAAATAGTCTGAAAAAGTAATAAATTTAATTCAACTATTGAAATTATTTCAAACAAATTAAGAAATTATATGTACAATTATTTTTTCAATTATATTTATAATAAACTAAACTTAAATTTTTACTATGAACAATACTATAATTTTATTTCATTTGAAATCGGTGCAAGCAGACGTAATAATAAACTATTGATTTCGTTGACAAACATTTACATTCCACATTATGTCCACTTTGTACAGACAAAGAAAATACTTTAATAACTTTACTTACACCAATTGGGAGTTTATATAAACGCTATAAAATAGTATTTTCGAAACTTTAAGATAAACGTTGTAAACATATATCGGAGGAAGGTGTATTTCGAAATGTATCAAATTTCAAATTGTACAAAATAATACCAAAGCATTTCCGCTGGACTTGTAATTATCATTATTAACACAATAAAAATTAATTAACACATTTGAGACTGGTAACGTAGTCCTGCATCATTTTACAATTTTAAGGAGAATGCCAGTCACATAATTCTACGTCATTTCAAAATCCGTAGCTAAATATTGATAAGATAGTTTCATTATATACTTTTTATATTGATACATTTAAATAGCAGTCTCACTTACATAATTTTATATTAGATGGCAATAAACTTTATCGTTGAAGTGAAACATAATTAAGTTTTCTAATTTTACGAAAACAACATTTACTTATAAGTTAGAGATTACAGTTTCAAATAATAACGTCTCTGAATTATATTTATGAACTTGTTCATTATTCTTTAAAGTTTATGTTCGTTGCTTTAAGCTCAACATTGTCAATATAAGAAAATTTTTAAGTCTTTTTTTTTATGAATTTAGTAAAAATCGCCTTAAACCTAAATTTTATTCTTATTTGTTAGACATGTAACTAGGCATTACAAGTATGAATAAATAATTTAGTCGTATTAATGATACAATTTAAAGAAGGTGACTCTGTAGCATTTTACAAACTCTTATTGTAATTCCTGTGGCAAGCAAAATATTATCAAATAGACATTAGCAACATTCAATATTAAATCACCAAAAATTTGGAGGAAGTAGACCATCAGGCGGTGGAATAAACCCTTTTGCTAAAGTATTCTTCAAAAATTCTTGAAGTCGTACCAATGGACCACCACCAATACACCCTACATTCTGCATACGCGAATAATATTCTTCCGAAAGTAAAATTAAAAGTTTATGAAATTGATGTGGATAAGCAGTCCACAATGCATTTCCAGCAACTTCAAGCATGTCTAGTAATAGGGTGGCACAAAGATCTGCTATTTCTGTTCGTGGTTCTAGAATAAAATTACACATTAGAAAATATGAAAATAAATTTGTTTACAATATTCTTTTTTATCTATTACATACCAATATTTAAAACCGCAGCCAACCATCGCCACGCATACTGAAGTCCATGTGGATTATTTTTCTGGATTCCCTTTCTTTGTGGTGTGATAGTTATAGAAGCATACAATCTCATTAAACCAGACATTCTTTTCAAATATTTATCGTGTTTTTCAACTGTACCATCTTCAGAATATTTATAACCCATCGATTTGTAATAATCTGTGTTCGATTGATCTACCATTTTCGGTAAAAACACGGGAACAATAAATGGACAAGCATTATGAAAGTGCGACAAAAGTAAGAAACCGAAATCAGAATGATCGTTCCAAAGGGCTACAATTATTGCAGCAATTGGAAATGCCATTTTTGATTTACTTGAAACAAGTGTTTCACCTTGGTTCTGTAAAAAGAATATATGTTAAATGTTGAATAGAATTACTCAAAAACTTTAATAACAATGACAAATTTGTATAAAAGTACATACCACTATTTTTTTAGCTAATATATTTTTACAAAACGCTGCACCCTGAGGATATTGATTCACGTTTGGAGAAGATTGCCCTATGAGAAGATTATGTAACCTTTCATATTTATCGGTTAAGTGTTGTTTATTAATTCCAGAGATTGCATTTACAGGTATATTTATTGCCTTTTGACATTCAAAACGGAATTTCTTTGTGCTTGTAGATTGCAAAAATTCATCATAACTTTTTACATAATTCTCCAAAAATTGTTTACTATTCATATATATTTCTAATGATTCTTTGTCAACATATTCATACAATTCACCTAGAAATAAAGAAATTATATTTAGTACTTATATTCAATAATACATGTAAGTATTACAGTTGCTAAACCTACATTTACTATCATCCTTTTCATTCGTTGAAACAGTTTCTTGTGTATGAACAGTTGGTATGATTATCACTGGAATGTTTGAGGAAGTCATATTTTCTGGAGTTTGTATAATTTGTTGTTCTTCTTCTTCGTATCTGTTTTCACTATTCTGAACATTATTAGTACTAACTTCTTGCACACCAATTACTTCACTACTAGTATGAGTATTATCAGGTTCCTGTATTTGTAAAACTTCAGGTTCTAATGGGGTTTGCTTTTCAATTTCCTTATTAGCTAAATTTGCCCTGTATGCAGCGTTTATCCTTTCTAAAATTGTATCAAATGAAACGTAAAATTTTTAAAAATTTACACTTAATGGAAATATAAACAAGATTTTACCTATTTCTAATTTAAATATGCACAGTATTTCATCAATTTGTTGCACAGCTTTTTCCATAAAATTTAAATCAACTGATGTCACATCTCCAGCCTACACATACATAACACAAGTTAATGTTTTCTTGAACTACACTGTTTTACTGTTATTTTCATAATTTTTTTTCAACTATTTCTTACCTTAATTTTTTCATTCATAAATTCTACTTGGTGATCTAATTCCTCCAATTTTATATTGCAAGAAGAAAACAGAACAGCGACAGAATTTTTATCATCACAGTTCTCAGATGCAAGTATAATATCGCTATACTTCATTTTAAATACATTTCTCAAATTCACTATTAATTTAGTTAGCTCCTCCTTCTCTTTTAATCGTTTTCTATACTCTTCAACCTCTCTTTGCCGCTCATGTCTTTTCCGTATTTCTTCTTGTTCTGCAATCTTTTCTTCTTCTAATATATACGCATAATTCTCTTTAGTTCTACGCTCGCGTTCTTTTGCCATATGCGACCGTGAAATTTCCATATGTTCTTTAATAGCTTTTCCATTTTCATTCATATGTTGCCAATGACGTTCAATTTCTTTCTATATGTAAAAAATCATATTTTATCAAATCTGTTTTATACATATTAATTTCAACAACTACACTTTTATATTATATTAAAAAAAATTCTATGTTACCCGAACTTCTTCCTTCCTTTGATATTCACTCTCCAAGAGAATTTTCTTTACAGAAAATGTAATACCACTTTGCATAGATATTTTGTTATTTTTTAAGTGAGAAGATTTTTGTGGGGCTTTAATATTACAAGAATTTTGTTCATTTTCTATATTCTCTGATTTCAGATCATCATTTTCCTTAACTATAGAATCAGGACCTATTGTAATTCTATCTACATTGCTTGATATAAGAGAAGCTTTCTTTAAAACTGACATTTTGAGACAAGAGAAATCAGCAGTGATATCATTTATATTCTGCATCTATCAATGAAAAAAGATATAATATTATAAGAAAAAATAAATATAAATTCAAGTATTAGAATTATACTTACAATATCGTCTTTGTCACTAACAAAGTGCGGCATGTTTGCATCCACTTTGGAAAAATATAATATGACGTAATAAATTTAAAAAATATCTACGGATATATACAGTATTATTATAACCTATAAATTTCTTCAAGTTTACAGTATTATTATAACCTATAAATTTGTACTTGATCACATTCACTCTAAATATATTCAAACATGGCTTAACGAATTATTCTGGACGTTGTCATTACAATAGAGTTTGTAAGAACTCTATTTTATTTAAAAGTATGAACATTCCTTCGATCGTTTGGAAACGTTTCAACAAATACACCACTCACCCTTCAATCATACCAAAACTAACTGCAATATACCTTGTAAGTATTTGCATGTACTATATCAATGTTGTACCTCAAATTTAAAATTTATACAGACGTTGTATATAACATAATTTTCTGTCAACTATTCTAAAATATTAATACCACGAACTTAATCTTCAGTCTGTATGTCCGAAATTTTAAAAAAATCACAATCTTTATGTAGAAGGAAATTCATTGTTTATAATATTCTTCTGTAACTAAAGTATAATCATTTTTTTTTACTAAGAATTAAAATAAATACATATTTAAATGAATATATTTTTATACTATACAACACTTTAAACTACTATAACAAATAAAAGAAGAAGTAAAAGAGATG